TTCGTCACACATCACACGGACCGGGAACAATGAAGCGCGGAGAAGGAAGGGTATCCTTTCGGTTCCCCCACTCGGCTTATAATCGCGCCAGGCTGCACCAATTAGAAGAAGTTTCGTTCGCCGCGCTACGCACTGCTTTGAGAGTAGCGTCTTCTTTTTTTTCTTCTTCTACTTTCTTGTGAGTCCTCATTACACTCGGATGCCAACTTCTTTTTTTTCTTTTTCTCACGTGCTTCTTTTCAGTTTTTGTTTACGTTTTGTACTTTTTTTGTCACTTGAAGAAGGTGCAGCACGCACGCGAGCGCGCAAGCCTATGTTTTTGAGTTCGGTCGGTATTGGCCTAGAGTGCAACAGCGGAAAGGGTGGATTCTTGTATCTATTCATTCATTAGTTCTTATGGTGACTCCAATGTTTCGAGTCTTTTAAATTCGCAAAGAGGGGTGGAGAGAGAAGATTTGTGAAAGAGGAAATACTAAAGTGAGATTCTTAGCCATAGGTTAGTAGGTCACTTTTAGTAAGTGGGAGGGAGAATGGGAGAACAGCTGATAAGAGAAAGTGTGAAATTTATAAAAAAAAAATTACGCATAAAAAGAAAGATGGATGCTTATATAGAGAGATCTCTGCCTGCTTCCGACGGATGGCGTAAGCTGTACACGCTGTTAATGAGGAATTTACCCACCACAGCACGACTGCTAAGCTCGGGTCTCTAAGACACATCAAGAAGTAGGGATTAGGCGACCGCTCACGCCGGTATTGGGCTTATGCTGATCTAAACAGGACTGGGTTTCTCACCCGTGGAATCATCCGTTGAACATGAGGCATCCGCGGTACATGAATGAAATGAGAAAAAGTCATAAATTTCGAGGTCTCAGCCTCGAATGTCGATTTAACTAAATGAGATAGCACAAACAATAAGCCCCATACATGACTTTAACCCCCGTGTCCGTGAAATTGGCTACGCTACGAGCTAAGGTAAACATTGCGTAGTCCAGCTCTTGACTAGAGCACGGATGAGAGTCGAACGTCGTGGCCAATATTCATTGCACAGAATTTTATGTTTGAGCATTCAAGATATGTTAGAAGAGTGAAAAGAAAGGTGACAGACAAGCATCTTCATCGTTCTTTCTTCTGTCTCTTCCAATGTATATTCAAGTATCCTTCCCTGTCGCAGGGTTTGAACGTCATGATTAATACGCACCAGATCCCGCCTGCACGTTGACCCCTTTTTCATAATTGAATCATGACGTCATCGAAGCTTCAAATACTGGAAATGTTTAGAACGCAATGTCTGCAACCTGTCATTCCTATAAACAAACGCGCGATCGACGCGCTTTTTTGCGTCCTTCACCTTATCTCAAAATAAACCGGATATAATTAGCGATGATCGTATGAATGCACAGCATAGACATTCGATAGGCTGCGCGTGATACCAGCAGGTCTCAGCTACAATCTATACTACACTAGTTTATACTAGTTCATTGCATGGAGATCCCGAATGTTAGCATTTGTTTCTTAGGCCCGTTGTACATTATATTTTGACAAAAAAAAAAGTAAAATCTTCAGGTGTAGTAAACGTAATACAGCAATGTTTTTTTTTTTTTTTTTTTTAAACACGCCGTCTGACGGCACTTTTTGGTATCTATTCAAGGCGCAGAAAGAAGGGCGTTTACGATCGTTGATTAAATTTTCATTACAAAATTGGCACCCCATGAGTCAGTGTTGTACGGAACGGCGTTCCTGGGACGCGTTCCTTTTTGGGAGGAACGATGGAACGCCGCCGTTCCCTTTTGCAATGGTGGAACTGGAACGGGAACGCGTTACATTTTTACTCGAACGGAGAAAGTAACGGCGTTCCTCTTTTTCGACCAGCCTGGTAATTTTTATTTTATTTCTTAGAGGGAAAGTTTAAAGGTATAAAAACAATATTTTTACACAGAGCAGGATCTCGTTAATTTGGTTACTTTATTATGGTTTATTTTGTGTGGTCCTCGCTTGGTAACAGTCGGGTGCAGGAGAGCTAGTGGACATTGATTCTTTTTTCAGTTGCTCCGATTGCGGTACAAAAAAAGCAAAACTTAGCCAAAGGAAAAAAAAAAAACACAGAAAAATGGGCTTTTCAAACTAAGTTACTTTATTTTCTTCCACGAATCCTCATACACCCAGAAAGCTAAGGCCGACTACATTCATCACTGAACTTCCACAAAGAGACCTACAGTTACAATAAAATAACAGATTACCAGACATTGAACGCACCCTTCAGTCCCGAACGTTGGCCACTTAATATATACACAAAAATTAACATTTAAAATTAACACCCCTTGTCCCCCACCTCCACACTGAACAACGAATCCAACCTTCACAAAGATGGACTTGTAGTTTTCAAGACTGACCTTCCAAAAGCCCTACCCTCTCCTTCACTTGCACGTCTTGTGGACAGCACCAATGAGAAGCAATTTTCGTTAAGTTCCAGTTAAATTGAAACCTGCGAGGTTGTTGTAAAACGCTCGTGCGATGTGGGGTAACGCTACATTTAGCTCGTCTGAATCGTCCCCCCCCCCCCCCCCCCCCCCCCAATTATTAATATGGTTAAAAGCTAAGATTTTTCAGCAAATGAAACCCTGCTTCCGCTTGTTTTCTTCTCCTGGTGCCCTTCCATCACGGTATTTAAAATCGTACGTTTCAAACTGATGGGATAAATAAAAAAAAAAGAAAAGAAAACTTCGCTTAATTTAAGTAAAATGGGAATCACTAAAATGCGTACAAATTTAACGTATATGTAACGATACGTTCCATTTTTAACTGTAATGGGAACGAGTTCCTTTTTCATACATGAAACTTGTAACGGGAACGCGTTCCGAAAATCAGGATGAACGAGGAACGAGCTTTCGTTCCTTTTTTTTAGGATGCTTAGAGTATGTACATTAGGAGATCACCGTAAATAGCCGATCTCAGAATCCACCTGAGTGGGGGCCCCTATGATTAGTGGCAGTGGTATCGCACGCAAATTTGTGGGCAGCGACTTACTTTTTGTTTGTGCGTATGCCGCGTGACTAGCACACGAAAGGTCCAATTACTTCAAAAACTTGGTTGGTAATCATCGATATTATATTGAGGAGTGTTATTATTACTCGATAAAAGCTGTCAAATTGTTCCTAACATGCTTCAAATTGTTCCTAACAACGAAGTGGGTCACCTCTTGTTGTATGTAAGCTGCTCTGGACATAACAAAGTTTCCTAAAAAAAAGCACAAACATGCAACAAAACACAATTTCATACAAAAAAAAAGAAAAGAAACCGTTGAGGGCAAGCAGTGCGAGATCGATGCTTTTTTTCTTTTTTTTTTTTATAAAGAGTGGGGAGGCATCATTGTCTTCACTATCAAACACTACGGTGGGCAGTCTCTGGACAAAATGAAAAAAGACGATGATGTTGAGTCATCCGCACATTGGTATAATATGAGATTGTATTGAAACCGGAAGGTTGCAGATTGATCATCGAAGCACTTAAGTCTGCACTGCAGCCCAAGCTTATCCCCCCTACTTTGCATTGCAGCATGCTAGCACACTGTGCACCCGATCACTCTATCATTCAAATTTTACTTTTTAACAGTCTCTTTTCCTCGCGTTTAGACGAATAAGAAGACTAAAGCATATATTTAGCTTTTTTATTTATTTTTCCGAAACCCTTTAAGAAGGATTGCGCATAAATGAAGCATTTTTGGACGGAAAATAGCCCTTTTTCCTGAGATTTCTGGTTAGAAAAAAAAAGGTTGTAACTAGCCCCTAATATGACAAGAGTAATGGCTCAAGTTAACTGATTAGACACATACGAAAATACTGAGTCGAGGTTTAAGAGAAACGGAGTGGCCTAAAATTTGTTTTTGCTGAATGATAAATATCGCTCTCAGATTAAGTTTTCGTGTCCCACCGTTTGGCTACCTAATCATTCACGTCATTGTTATATATTAAGATTAACAGGCTCGCAATCCGTCACTAATATTCAACTCCTAGTCTATTTTTTCTTTTTTTTTACGCAGATAAGAAATTTTTTTTGGGGGGCGGCGATTTGTCAGAAGTAAATTTGATATACTGTTTGCAAAGTCTCAGCGTCACATCTCAATTCTATGAGTAAATTACCACCACTCAGACTACATTACTGCTTGGTAAAACGCCGCTATCGCTGATGCGTGACTGCATTTGGTTGACCATTACTCCTAATTTCGGTCTGGAGAAGAGACGACCAGCACTCGGCGAATATGCTGGAACGACATTCGCGTTTTTTTTAAATTATCATGTTGCTCTTCCTAATTCTACTCCACAGCCCAGATAAGCTAGCTGCCCTCGGCCAACGGGACGCTAGAAAACTGTGGGTGGCGTGCACAAAGAACTTCTCGCGTTTCAGATTTTCTTTCATTTTTAGAAGATAACATGGCGCTCGTGAAGGATTTAGTTTGCACAAAGCAAACTCCGGCCTTCGCGGAAGCGCCGCATTATACTATGTACAGTCTCGGATGTTTCAAACGTGGCTCCTGCCAGTTTCGCTACCTGGTGCCTTACGCAATCGTTGCAAATGGCTATTTGAATATGCTTTCTCACGCAGATTTCGGTCATTGCTTTCGACATATTTTTGATAGGCCTCCAGGCTGCGTTATTTTGCATATTCTCAAGGAAGCGTATACAAGCAATAATAGCGCCAATGTTGTTTCTTGGATCGCCAAGGGAGGGAACATCATTTATGGATAGCGAAAAAGAAAAAAAAAGAAGTCCTAAATGTCTTTATATTTTTTCTAATGCTTTTAGGCTTTACAAAAGCCACATTATTAATGTGTACACAACTTGGATGTACCTGTCAGATAATAACTTGTTCGCACTTTGAGTGGTGTGTAAAGTGGTCATGAATGTATTCTATATAATTCACAATCTATTTTAAATGAGTCCCGTAAGATTAATTTATTCAGTGTTCGTATAAACTTATATTTTGTGATTTTTCCCTCATTTCAGCCTGACCCACAGAGCGTGCTGAAATTCAAGCTGACGTGTCGTGGAGCTTCTGGAACGGTGAGTAATTATTTGATCAGCAATCAATGCAAGAACTATTACGCCGTACTGAGGTGCAACTGGAAGAAACATTCTACTCTCCGAATTTCCACGTCTTTTTTTTTCTATTTTTGTCACTATTCGCATCTGCCACACAAAAACAAACTAAGAAAACTCCAACGTTCTGCAATTTTGTAATAGCGTTAAATAACAACAAAAATAGGACGTAGCTTTTTAAATGCACCCTTTAAAGTTAGCGGCTTTGGTAGATTTGCATAATCACTGTAACAATCAGGTCACCGATAGCTTATAAACCAGGATACCGCAAACCTTCCGACGAGATATACGCATCCGACCGCCCCACGAAAGAAAGAAACACACACAAAGAACAAAACCGAGTTGCATACTGAGCAAATTATTAATATCGCGCACAATCACAGTCCGATCTACTTTCGCATATTCATGAATCGACCGCTACATGATGTAAATTTCGTGAGTGGCGACGACTAAGCAAATTCACCTATCTTTGTCAGTTTCCTGCTTGATTCACTCAGCAGAGCACGAAAATGGACGGGTTGATATTAGCGACGAGATGTTTCGGTGGCGCCCTCGTTTGGTTACCTTTCGTGACGTCATTACCTTGTGTTACCCAAGTTCGATGGTGTTTGTAATGGGCATGGTGGAAGCCTGAAATCATAGCGCTCTCAAAGCAACGCTGCCAACACCGTCAAAATTGAAGTACTTTATTTCTCTTATTTCCGTTGATGAGACATCCTTCGCTGACATCATAGTCAGCATTCGGCCAGTTGTGGTGGGCCGACCACAGCGACACTTTCGATCGCTCACGTCGCCAATGGTCACCCACAGGGTGAAGACGGCAGAAAAGCCTTTCAGCTGACCCGCCTCCAGCGCGAGCGTCCTTCATTCGGTAATAGGGAGTATTCACTGGACGCCATATTTGTGGGTGCTCTTTAAAGCGCATGCTCAGAGCGAGGTCACATTAATAGGCTGCTTAGACCGGCAATCTTGACGGTGTGCACGCGCTCAGCAGTCGCGCACACAGCTATGGCCGCCAGTGAATACTCCCTATACTTTGGCGCCTCATGAGCATTGAGTGTGCACGAGCAGTCGAAGCACAACGAAGGCAAGACGTGCCTGCTGGACGCCGGGCATTCGAAAATAATCCATTGCCGTTTTTATGGTGTATTTTACGGTAAACAACTTTTCCTGTCACAGGGAACAGAAACAAAACGAATAAAAACTAAAACACGAAGCTGTTAAAGTAGGTAAACAAAAGTTGAACGGAAATCGTTCATGGTTTGTCACTCGAGGTATGAAGCATGGTGATACGAAGTCATTCAGCCCCGTCCCGGAGTTTCGCAAAAAAGCACATAGAACATATGCATCTCATACGCGTGATTGCAATTCTTGTTTTCAAGTGTGCACACCCCCAAATCCGTCATCCAAGATCTTGATTATAAGCAACGATGGAACATATCGCTCGGCATTATTTGCAACTACACAATGGTTCCGTTGCTTCTTCTAAAGCCCATATTAGGCTCGTGATTTTCGGAAGCTATATGACGCGTGTAATTGGTTATCGTGTTAGTATAGACCGATCTCACCAAGCGTTCGGCGTATGCGTGAAGCCGCCACTACTATAGTTCACGGGAGTCAATCGGCAGCGCATTAGACTGTTCGTTCTTTGCACGCGCCGAGCTCCAGCGAGGTTGTGGCACGTGCAGAAATACTAAAGTTACCTCGATGTATTGCGGCGGTGGTGTACTACCCAAACTGGCGGGTGAAATAGGTCTATTCGTCAACCTGTTTTCCAAAGCGTCCCAAAAACCGGAATGACTATAGTGTCATCAAATTTACCGGGTTTCTCGATATACACGTGACGTAAACGCACAGTGCAGATGGTCATTCCTACGTGTTCTTGCCGAGAAAAAACAAATTCGGTTGACCCTTATTGATGGTTCGCGCTCAGCTGGAGTCGCAGATAGCCGAAGAAACGCAGGACGTGGATAATTATATTGAATTGAGTTGAATTGAACTTTATTTACTATCACCGACAATTGGCGACGAGATTTTTCGGTGCGCCCTCTTATGACTCCCATCAATGACGTCACGACAAAGATTAATAATAGCGAGCGACAAGTTTGATGGTGCGTAAAAAGCGCGATGGAAGCCTAGTCATGAGGTTCCTTAATAAACATCGTCAGCGTTGAGAGTCCAACTTTGCTCGTATTTGCGTCGATGAGAGCAGAAATAGTCAGGGGGATCGGTGGCCGAACGCGTCTCAGCTCAGAGCGAAAGCTTGTGCTGCAGAACGTCCTGCGTTCGATTCCCATCCCCGCCCGCTTCGATCTGAAAGAGTTTCCTACCGGCACGCCTTCGTGTAATCACTGCTGCGCGGGGTACGTTAAATACCCCAGGGTAGGGGTTGTACTGCACTGGCATAAATTTCTCATCTACAGCCGAGAGACGGGTCACCGATTGAGGCGTAACAACTTCAATGCTGTCTAAACATACAAGCAAGACCATTACTTTCGGAAACAATCCTACTCAAGACGCCATAGTGAGCGTTTGACCAATCGTGGAAGGCCGATCACAGCGACGCCTTTGGTCGCAGACGTCGCCAATAGCAATGCCAGCACAATGGCCTCTGATGAGATGTCAATGCAACTCATGTATAGATAGTTTGCATCAGCTTTGCATGGACGCCGCCATAACCGAATTAAGTTTTTGTCTCCTCATATTCTGTTCGTTTCACTTCATCATTACTATAGCAGGCCAGGTCATGGCCATTTCCAGCATTGGCCTCTGCGGAGACTCGTCAACCCTCGTTTTAGTGGCTGAGTATCTCCCTAAGACGAGAGAAGGTCAACAATGGCGGCTGTACTTTGGCTGCTCTAAACAACCTCCACTCACCGTATATCAAGAACGACGCTCTTGATGATGCGACACTTTGCTGAAACGTTGTGCAAGCTCGCTATCGGCACTCGCCCTGCTGCAACTAGCACCAGCAGTGCAAAGATACCTGCTAACTTAGTTGACGAGAAATATTTCTAATTAAGTGTTGCAATCATGCGCCTACCGACGTTACGCTAGCGCTTGGATGGGAGAGTGAAGTTAAATTGTGTCAATTGTAAGCTTCGACTTAATATGCTGAAAGTGGTAGATTGGTCGTTGCTCTTATATCCGCGAGTCGCTTGCGCAAGTTGGCACTTGCCAAACAAGAAGATTTAGGAACTGAATGCTTAGATTAGGTTGTTCTATGTTTTAAAAAAATTGTAATGGTCCTAAGCCGTGAGATCGGAAACGCCTATCAATTATTTGTCTTGATGCTCTGATGCGGTGATGCACAGCGTGTGTATTAGGAACAAATATGCAATAAAAGGACAATTCCATGTCTAATAGTGGTTTTAGTTCGTCCTCTTTGCTCCTAATTTCTCTCCCTCCTTTTTTTTTTAAATTTTGCTATCGCACTAAATGTTCTTGGTAAACAAAATTATTTAATTTATTTCCAACTTATTATCGCCACAACAAGTGTTTCTTTTATAAACGTGTTTCTATGTTCTTTGTGTTTTTATTGTTTTTCTTTTTACCGATGACACGGCAACCACGCACAATTCAGACAACGCATAATACAAAGGGCTGTAAGCGATTTCAGTCAAATTACGGCGTCCTTTCTCCATGCTTTGTCAAACTCGTCGTGGTTCCGAACGTCATCTCAAGCTCTTGGTATATGTGTATTGGAATATCGATTCTAATGTTTCTTTTGTTATTTTTTGGTGCCTCAGGAGGAAGCCTTCCTGCCAGTCACGGTCTACATTCAAGACGTCAACGACCACGCTCCTGAATTTCAGAATGTACCTTACCACCTTGAAGTCGACGAAGTAAGTGAAATCAGAATCTTTCTTTTGTATTTACGCTCAGTTATATTGTAATTATTGCTGCATTCACAGTGGAGTTCGAGTCGCAACGAAAGTGGATCCGTATGTTTTCATGTGAAAATTCGCATAAAACTGACCTGAAGCAGCAGCGTTCGTAACCGCCTCGTGAATGCGATTCGATCATTAATGTGAATAAGGCATAAGAGGGAGGTCAGAAGAAAGAACTGAATCTTTTGAAATTTTGAATATTGACCCCAACACGTTTACGGGGAATACGCTGGAAGTCAATGGTGGAAATAAATCGCGTCTTTGTATACTGCTCTTTTTCGACGAGAGAACACCTTCGATAGACGTTTCGCACTGAAATTCATAATCTGTCTATCGATATTGTGAATTTCACGTTGATGATACATATATCTTACGCTGCTGATACAAAAACGTGGCTATATAACAGCTCTTACGTCACCAGCACCAAACATTCATTAACGCAACGTAATTATTTCAACGTCCATATATCATTGCTCGTTTCATCGTGACCCAAATGATCGTAATACACTTTGATGAAGAGTTAGCGTTCTAAAAAATATGGGCGCTTGAAGCTTCAGTACCGATTCAGCGAATACATCATAAACGCCTCAGGGGGACGTTAATAAACCCTATTACTAAGACAAAAGCGAGGACTTGGGCGAGAAGCCAGCCTGATGTCGCCAGAAGGCGGCTTCGCTTCTGCCGCGCGACACCCGGTGTGGAAATGAACGATCGGTGCCTTCGTCCGTCCACCCCAATGACCACGTCTTGTCGCCGAATAGGAGTGGAAGGGACGGAGCGTAGCGCAAAAACAAACACAGACAAAGGAACAAAGAAACAAAAGCGAAAGCAACTCGCGGTCGTCGGAACGTGATGTCCGCCGCGTCCCGGGAGGCGCAGCCCCGGAGCGGCCGCGCGGTGGGCAGTTGAAGCGTTTTCACCGCGAGGGCCCGTCTTGCGGTGTAGATGACAATTTCACGGCCCGTCAGGTCGTGCCACCGAGCTCATTGTCGCGAGAGGCTCTCCCTCCCCTTGGCCCTTCGCTGCGCGCCGCTAGAAAAGAGAAACAGGACCGGGCCCGGCTGTTTCGGCCCGAGCCCGTCGTATTGAGAACAGGATGCGGCCTTCCTCTTACTAGATGCCTCGCTGACGGGTTCTTCTGGGAGCTTTGGTACGCTCCTTTCTTTACTCATCTGCGAAGATTTATACGCGTGATGCGGGCGTACTTGGGAGGCGTTAGAAATATCGCTTCGTCAAACCCGCGTCGTCAGGCGGCAACGATGAGGTGACAGGGCCGATAAAGTTTGTTCCTTCCAAGCGTAAACCAGATGGCGTCCCACAGAAAGTTTTTGGGGGAACTTCTAGCATATGAGCTGCAGCTGCTTATACTCCAACGTAACGTTAGACGATAACCATCGCGCTCCTCTTTACTTAGTCGCCTCAATAATCCCGTTTGAAACTAGATTAACCTAGCGTCGTAAAAACATCTTTTTTAATCTGTCTACCATCCAGCAGAGATTTGTAGAGAGACAGACCAAAAACGACTACGTTTGATGAATTCCAAGATCGAACTTATCCGGTTCTATTATTCTACGCGATCTTCTTTTCCCAGTGGCTATCGCCACAGATTAACCCAGTCGGGCGAAAGAAAAAAGCAACCATCCGGTTATATGTGAGCAAAGCTATCAAAGTTCAAAGTCAGTGGCCAACGTCAACCTTGAATTGCACCCGCGAATCGAGGCAGCAAAATTAAAAATAACATGCACCTTCTCTGATTTGACGTCGGATTGCTGTATAAAGAGGCATTACGGTTCGTAAAGCCGAGATCGGCGTACTCTCTGCTACGTACCCCTGCGATTAATGGTTACGATAGCTTGGACAATTCTACGTTCTTAGGTCCTTAGGTACACCTGAAGTTGAAAATAATAAAGCTGCGCGGATTCACTCGATACTAAGCTTGGACCCACTTCTTGAAAGTCGCAAGCCCTACAATGTTTGCGCAGAGATGTCAATGATATCGATGTTAATTGAAATTCAGCAGCATATAGTTCACCTTCTATTCTTTCAATCATATAAGCCAAGACCCGAAAGAGGGCATGGCGTTTTGTTGTTTTGTTGTAGACTGATATACAGAACTAGAAAACGAACGTTTTATTGAAAGCCACGGACGTGCCTTCATAAAACGTTGTTTGCACAGCTCGAGGCACACTGCGGTTTTTCTTCTTCTGTGCCTACGTCCCTTACCACCGTTTCCACTCTCCGCCAAACAACTTCGTGGAAACCAAATTAAAAAAAATGAGTACTTGAATTCCTCTCGACCGACCTCCTACCGTTTTCTCAATAATAAAATTAAATATTTCCGAAAATTGTCGGAGATATTGGCCGTGACTTCACATCTGCTGGTGTCTAGTTTGCATCGGCCGCAGTCTTGCTTGACTGCCTGTTGTTGAGTGCAAGAAGCAACCAACAAAATTTCCTTATATTAAAGGCAAAACCCTATAGTTTTGCCCACCATTAGAGCCACCCCTCTCATTTCACGGAAGCCCGCTTACCGTTCAAATAGAACGCCTCGTACCCCGTCTCATAATTCGTACATTTGACTCCTACCACATTGTTGCAACGTCCATCAGCCACGCATCGCTTAACAGAGCCGCCCAGATAACCCTTCATCCGCCTTGTCATAAAACAGCATGATGTACGGCGCTGAAGAAACGGCACAAAACGAACGAGAGGCCGGCGCCGCACAAGGTAAACTTTGCTTTACTGTTCGCACGCCGACCGCAGGAGAGGACTACTAACTCTATTTCACCTTAAGATGAACCAAAAAGAACGTTACGAACAATCGAATCCAATCCAATGCCGTGTGAATGTCACGTGGCGCTCAGGAGCCGCGCAGTGAAGGTGGGGCGTGTAGTCACATGACACGTTAGCAACTCTTGATTGTCTGGGATGACTCATAGCATCCGCCGCGGTTTTTTTATAAGGGGAAACTAAGTTTAGCACGTTACACTTCCACTGACCGGCATGCTCCTACCCTCCATAAAACCGACGGTGGCGTTTGGCGGGGAGTGGAGACGGTGGTAAGGAACGTGCGCGCAGAAGAAGAAGAACCGCAGTGTGCCTCGGGCTGTGCAAACAACGTTTGGGAGGCCGAGAGAATAAAGAAGTTCGAGGGCCCTCCTGGCTTTGCCTGTGACGGCGCCCAAGGGAGCGCTTCGAGGCCGCTTTGCCGCTCTTTTCCGGGCCCTTCAGCTCGTTTGTGTCGGACGTGAGCCGTACTTGGGCGTGTGCGTTCTTCTTCCCCACCGCACGCTGGTCTTCCTTGTCTTTGCCGCGGGCCACGTTGGGGACCTGGGAGTCGCGCCGTGCGCTCGATTGATCACCGCTGCTGCTGAAGCGCCCTGTGCTCGGGAACACTCCTCACCAGCGAGGCGGCGTCTCAAGCACGCGCATGGGCTCCTTGAGGAATCGCTCGCACGTGACTAGAGGCCTTCTAGGAGGGCCCCCCTGCTTCGATCGGCTTGACTGTGGGGTCGTCTAGAAACCCTTGGCTTAGCGCGCTTGGCTTGGAGACGCCGCCTTTGCTTAACGACCGTGCTGTTCGTTTGTGCGTGGTATAGGCTTTTAGCTGGGCTAAATGGTTTTATCGACCTTGCATTGGCCGGTCATATTTGGTGTTAGGCGGGAGACACTAGAGGGAGGCTGCGGTGACCGATAAACTGTCGCTGACGCTGCAGGAATTATCGTCCTTCGGGAAACGTATGGCGTGTGTGAGATTGTCCCTCGTGGATCTGGTTAAGTGGGAAAGGATGGTGCGGTATTGGGGAGCAAGGTAGTTATTGTGGTGTGGTTTCAGGGATAAAGGAAGAACTCAAGAAAGGAAAAAATAGAGATTCTCTTCTCTTGTCAGTCAATAAAATTCCCACACGATCTTCGTTTTATACTATAATTTAATTATTAATTCCCGCTGTAGGAATTTGTATTGCTGAGTGGCAATAGACTGATCTGACCAGCCTGTTTTGTTACGCCACCGTTGGTCCGTCTGCTCGTGGGGCCACCTCGCTGCAGCTCTGCGCGCGCAGGGCACGAGACAACACAAGCCGTTTCATGCCCTGCCGCCTTCCTCCTGTGAACAAAAGTTATGGCGGCGTCACGCATGCGTGGAACTCTTAGTGAGATCTGTCTTCTGACCGATGTCTCCAGCCAGTTTGGCTACGCCACCGCTGCTGTATTGCCTCAAGGGAACTTTAGTCTTTCTGCACGTGTAACAACCTCGCTTGAGGTCTGCATGTGCAGAGCACAAGACAGCGCGAACCGTCTCGCGCGCAGCCGCCTGCCTACTGTGAAGTAAAGGTATGGCGGCGTCACGCATACGTCGGCAGCTTGGTGAGATAGGTCTATTATATGCCCGAGTTCTACTAGGGTGACAGACAGAAGCAGCCGACACTTACAAGCCTCAAACACGAACATCATGCAGGCGGGGGTATCTTTGGCATGCTTGTAATCACTCATACTTACTTCACTAGCACCGAGAGACTGAAGGCCCACCAAAGGTACCATCGCGTGCATGCTGCACATGTTTGAGGCTTGCCGCTGTCCGTTGTTTCCGCGTGTCACTCTATACTTCTTTTCACCACAGCATGAACTAACAACGAAGTTTGTGCAAGCGCGAGCGGCTAGCCTTGACTGTCTTGACTTGAGCACTCTGTGCATTAACTTTCGTGCAGCCGCCGAGGCTCCAAAGCAAATATTTCGCGCTTTTAGCATGAGCGGCTAACAATAGTCCATGCTAAGGTGAGGCGAAGTGTAATGTGACTCCGAAATAAGAAACTGTGTTTTGTTTTGTGTTAACAATAACATTGCATCTGTCATTCTTGTGTAGAAGAACGTCTGCAAGGCGCACGTCGAAGGCACTAGGTTAGCAATCGTAACGAAGGGATTAAAGTTTTACCTTCCGCTTGCGAGATATTATTCGCCTTATCTGAAGTCGAACTGAGCCAGCAGTTCAGCAAACATTTAACAAGTTTCACGTTTGAGGTATGCGCGCTGATCACTTGACAATTTGCCAGTAGGCAGGCGTTCTAAGAGCTGCATTGCGACGGTAACGTTTTCAATTGAGTAGTATAAAAAAACAAATATCAGAACACCGACGTTGATAAGGTTTTCTTTAAACGGGAAAGTTTGTTCCTTTCATCTCTTCAAGCTCTTTTAATGATAAAATATTGCCTCCTGTGAAACATTAATCTATACAGCTTCGCATGAACTTCGTACTGAAAGCTGTAATCACATATGGAACTGAACTCAAACAGCTAGCTCACTACGTCAAAGTTAGGGTTCTCTTTCAGGGCTTAATTGCCTCTGATTTAGCACCGTTAACGAGGTTACGTCATCGGATGCACATATGTAATGTAATTATGCAGCTGTACACAGATCTGCCCATAGTCAAACTTACACGAGTTGGAAGAGTTCTGCTAATTTAAATTCTAAAGGCCTGTATGTTTTGTTGTGTACGCGCAGTAATCTACTCGAGTTGGCGTGCGTAATGAGGTCATTCAGCCAACTAGATCTTCTGAAGTATATTTGAAAAGCCGATCAATAGATGTAAATTCGCGCACGAGGCTACTGCGACGAGTCTTTTACGACTGAGGAGATATATCACGGGCTACAAGCACTTCTTTTTTTGGGGTTTATATAGCGCGCAGTTTTACAAATTCTTTGACGTGTCTGTTATTCAGTGGTGCCCTTTTTGTAGGGTGTATCTTTTCTTTTTTGTTGTGATGGCAAACTTGGTGATCACTTGTTAGCTTGCATTGAACGGGAGAACCTTCTTTCGTAAAAAGCACACTTTAACAACTGTAGTGTCTTGATGTTAGCCAGACCTAAGAACTTACATCATCATGAAGATGAAGACCCATGTATCGGTGGTTTAAAGATGTAGCACGAAAAGTATTTAATGTGAAATAAACTTAAAATAATAGCAAATACCTTGCCTCTTGACAGAAACAATGGTTGCACAGTTCAGGCGTTGAGCGCCGTGGCAATCAGGATCACGATGACCTTTCCAAGCTTAAATCTAAAAGTACGCTTCGCGGATTTAAAAGTTTTATGACGTTACAATGCACGGAAGGATTGTGTGGTAAAAAAAAAACTACTTTATAGTTAGTTCAGAGAACACCATATTCCTGTATGCAACCTGATTTTTTTGTGCTGCAGTACAACGATTAATTTAAAAAAATTCAAATAAATTTGAGATAGTACCTCGTAGACAAATGGAGACGGGTCATAGTATAAAAACCCTTTCTGAAACAGCCAGTTTTCTGGAACATTCTGTGGGATAGAAATATTTCAAGGAAATATCGAAATTCTAATTGATTTGCGTTGTATGATACCCAGGCAATTACATTCCTGGGGAACATTACGATATTTTGTCAAGAAAAGGAGTGATGCATTATTATGTGAATGAAGCCCATAGAATTCAATGCAACACATATGCAGAGCCGTGGAATGAAAATTATGCTCGTCCAAAAGTTTAATTATTACTTATTTATATTATATGACTGCCATCTAAGATATTCCTGTGGAACAATGCTATGCTTGTTGTTGTTCAGTTAAAATTATCATTCAGATGCAGGCGCCGAGGCGTTGACGCCCAAGAAAGTTGGGAATGTTATTTAGTAACCCCACATTTGTGTAGTCAACAAATTTATCCACAGAGTAAGCAAATCAAGGAGTTTTTCGACTACGTAACCACGTAAATCTTCGAAATGAAAAAAAAAAATCTAACATGCATTATTCGGTTGCCATACAAAATTTAATTCTATACAAAAAAGAAAAGTGGAAATGCCCTTGTTGAGTTTTGATGGTGCACGTTTTGACAAAACGCGATCACTTTAAGTCTACAAAGTATATATCTTAAGTGATGTTTGTTTACAGACTGAACGCGGAAGCTAGCTGTCGAGCTGTCTGCCAAAACCGGGCTTCTATCCTGATCCCCGTATCTAAAAGCGTTTTCGTAAACCTTCTGCCTCGAACTCTCCTTAGACTAAGGGCCCGCAGATGCCAGTTGGACAACCAACGTCCGATGGGGCGATGCAGAGTTTTTGTCTCTTAGGCTCCTTTTGTGTCATTTTTCGTTTTCCTCATATCGTCATACTCCTAATACGCTTTGTCTCCGACAGATCTTTTTTTTTTATCGTATTAAATATCTCGTATATGCTTTTATAGGAAGCCCATGCCACACTCCTGAGTTTAATCTTCCAGTTTTACGAAACGCACCCGGCGTCCTTTTTTTCCGTAGAGTTTATCGGTTTACGGCTGGCAATTTTTTGAAGAAAAAAAAATTCGATAAGTGGAAATGCTTTTAGGATAGACGGTCCATGCTACCGACCGATACAAAGGGTTTAGCAACTACGATCTCTTCATCCCTTAATCCCCCGCCGGTTAAAGCACAAATATGTAAACGCAAGTTTCTTTTTTTTTTTCGTTTTCTGCGCACCTAATGACGGCTTATGAACCCAGTGATGTTATTGGATTCTATTCCCGGTAGTTAGTACATATAGAATTTTGTTCGCACGTTAAAAATTCCTAGCAATCAGAAAAACACGTGCAAATTTTAGTACCTCAAAACGCTTCACACTTTGTACCTGAAGTCACGTCTGTGTTTTGTTTCTGTCGAGTGTCTCGCCCTACAGTCACCGACAACTTAAGAAACGTGGGGCGTGGCGGGTCCCGAGCATCTAATTACCGTTTCGCAGCCAATTAGCTTGTATTCATCGATAACAAGGTCGAAGAACGAATCAGAAAACAAGAAGCACGAACATAACGAGCCAGAGCTTTTAGCGTTTCTTAAAGTGACTTTATTATTACGCTACCGCCGCGCCATCAGTGACCTCTCTGTACTCCGTGCCCACCACTCGATGGCCGCCGTGGTGCCATACACTCAAAGAAATCTGAAACATCGACTGCAATCGGTGTAAACCTAGGAAACCGTCAACTCAATACACTGACCAAGGTGAAAGCCATGCTCGTTGTCTTTACGCAAAATTCGTTTTTCAAATGCCATGGTATTCTACGGACTGTCACTTTTTAGAATCTCTCCAGTTTTCAGCGTGACTGACCGTCACCGTGTTGTGCGCGAAAGTTAAGTAAACTATTCTCTTGTTTTATAGTGCACGTTTGCGACGTGCAAACGCGTTCCTTCCGTCTGTACCGTGCCGGCCACTCCATGGCCCCGCCTCGGTGGTGCTGTAGGGCCGCTGTCACATCCAGGCGCTTGCCTCAAGGTGCTGCTGCCGTCCCTCGCTGAGCTGTGCTCTCGTTCCGTCTCTTGCAGCTGACGCCCGTCGGGCTGACCGTGTTCCGAGGTGTGCACGCCATCGACAGGGACAAGCCCAACACGCCCAACTCCGACGTCACCTACGCCATTGTGGTGAGTTTGTTGAGTCCGCCCCTTCTCTGAGCCAGTGCGAGGAAATTAGAATGGCGGAGAGACATTTCAAGGCGCGGCCCGCTATATACAATGTTTTAAGACGACTACGGTTGTCCCTCCGCAACCTTGATCCTTACAGACGTCGCTTAGAAGCTCGGCCGATGACGGCTATGATCCGGAACGATCTACTGTCATTTCCGATATTTTTTTTAATTCCATAATGTTGGCGCAAAGTGATATCGCCTATCATCTTCTGGTCTAACCGTCAGTCAGCTTTATCAAAAGACAAGTTCTGTTTATCCAGCGCGTCGCTAAGTTTCGGCACACACAAATCGGCTTGACTACGAGACTTGCAAGTCAAGACGCTAGCATGACACGTAAGAGTGACTTTTCGGAAACCCACCGTTCTTCGATTAGTAAATGCAACTTTATTATTTTGTTTTTGTTTTATATATTCACTGACATTCAAGGCCTGGCGAGTTCCGGGTAGCTTAATTATCGCTACGCAGCTTGCAACGTTGACCGATCAGGAAACCGAAGGACGAATCACGAAGACAGAAGTATTACTATATTATGCCCAGCTCCGCGGTCCTTAAGCAGTCATCGACTATGGAAGTCGCGATGGAAAAGGCTGACTTGTCTTTCTTTCGTTGCTTTCATCTGTGAGTGACGTCAAAGGACTCCGACTGTCACAAGTGGAACGGTGGGATACGATATGTATTATGTAACACGTACTAGCAACATGCTATTATAGCTGCGGACGAAGAAATCTAGAAAAGTCAAAATGAGGTAAGTGTCAGCGACGGTCGCGACACTAGCATACAACAAAGGAAGCGGCATTCTTTTCGGAAAGGGCGTCACGTTTTCTGGATAAAGCTACGGGAAGGAACTCCACCCCGCACCACCCCCCTTTCTTTTTTTTCTCCTTCTGCAGCTGCGGTGATTACCGGAGCCACTTCGGCGCTGGCAAACTCAAAATAACAGAAAAGGAGGAAGGTTCGCCACTCCTCGCCATTTGAACTTACGGCTGTCATTTACAGCTCTCGTGGAATGAGGCGGTGTCCGAACGAATGCTACGCAGTCTCGGAAGGTCCACTGTGGGCATAGCCTTGTCTCTCTCAGGGTTGTTGTCTCAATCTACAACACCGAAGAAAAGTTGTCCTACGCCAAGAAAGCAATCACACACACAAAAAAAAAAAATTCCTTCCAACGACAATAAGTGCGAACAAAAGCGAACGAAAAGAACTAATGCCACGTCACAATCAGGCACCGCCTCACTCTGCAAGATGCATTATGAAAAAAGGTGCCCGCGTATTCAGACGTACGCCACGTGGCAACATCTGCGTTTATTGATTTTTTTTTTTTAAATTCACGTTTGATCCAAAAAGCTTTAGAGAAATCTGGAGATGATGTTCCAAAACCAGCGCGCCGCATAAAGCGAATACAATTTTGATAAATGCTCGTTTCGCAACGTTGAAGAAAGTGAAAGTTTGTTATCTCTTTCCACCTCCATTTGTATACTTAGAGCCGTTAACGTAACGATTCTTCTCTTTTCTTGCGTTGCGCAACGTGCAAGGTGACGCAAAATAAACTCTTGGTAGAAGTAGATTAAACCAGCTAAAAGAAGGGTTTTCCAAAGCCTTTCTATTCCCCGAGATGAAAGGAACTTTCTCTGCGGCTTCATCATCCTCACATTGAGGTTCGATCGAAATCAGTCTCGCATAAACTGAGGCTTTCGAATTTTGGGTATACACCAAGACGAAGCATTCTCTCTCTCTTTCTCTCTCTTTTTCTCCTTTATTTCCAACGGTGCCCTTTAAAGAGGTATCGAAACTGAAATCTTGTATGGTTCCCAGTTTATGTATTTACTGCTTTTTGGCTCTTGCAGGGGTCCTTTAAATGGTTACCCTTTATAGGCGGCGGTTTGAGCTTTTCATTAGCCCACGAAAAACCCCTCGCCGCTAAGCGAAACGTTCTTTTCAAGGCTATCTTTCCCTTTCAGGGTCGGTATACTCCCCCTTGCTTTCAATAAGTACGCCTTCAGTGCCTGCCAGCCCATGTTCGTTATTATATCTCCACAAGAGATGCGAATCCCTTTAGAAGATGGTTTTCAGTTTAACGATCTGCAAAGCTATACCCCCTCTCCCCCTTCTCCCCCCTCCCCCTAAAAAAATAGAAAAGAAAAATAAGAAAGTGCTTATCTAAATAATTTATTTTTGAATGTATTTTTGTTTTGTTTTTACGTTGCCAACGTGAAGTTGAAAAGTCAAGTTTCAAAAGGAGAAGAAAGGATTTCCCCTTTTTAATGTTATTGTTGCTCACCAAATGGCCAATCAATCATTGCGTTCTCTTTTTTTTTTTGGCGGGGAAGGTTAATGAAGACGATTTAATATATGGAGCCGGAGGTAATTCAAAACTGATGCCCTTCCCCCCCCCCCCCCCCCCCCCCCACAAACACACACACACACCCTTCCTCTTCCTCCGTCCCACATTGAGATGCATATATATTGTTTAATAGTCGTTAGCGAATATTGAATTAAGTAACTTTAAGTTATTTAACACCAGAGACTCTTATTTTTGTTCACCCCGGAAATAGTCATTTATAGAGCCACTACTAGAGCTCCGCTTAGACAAGCGGCACCCAATTCCTCGGTTATCTCTTGTGCGTCGCCATTTTGGTGCTGTGTGCAGGACGTGGGCGCAAGTGGCGATCATTACGATTTTGAAAATGCGGCAGCCTGACCCTTAAATGCATTGTCAGGAAGCTCGAGTGATATTGTTTTGCCTTGTCACTGGCTGCTTTAACATTCTTTGAGGACGGAAAACCGTTTCCGGCCATTTCATGTCAAGTTTCAGATAACCGCCAACAGAGATTTTACGAAACAAGCTTGCTGAAATGACGCTACAATGAAGTGCTACGCCTTGGTTACTCTAGTAATTAAATCTCTTGGTCGTTATTTACGCTCAGGCTGTCCAACTCGGCCAAAAACGAGTTGGACAGCCTGAAAATGGCCAAAACTTCTTTGGTGCGTTGTTTTTGTGTTCCTTTTCGTTATCGGCGGTTGTTCCTATAGTTATTTGTTTGCGTATATTGATGTATACCAAGAGAGAGGCAAGGATATCAAGTTGGACCAAAGCTCTCGTGAGGAGCCATCTAAACGATCGGGGAAGGATGTAAAGAAACGCCAGTGGCATTTGCCGGAAACCGTTTTTTGATGCAGTCCGAGACGACTTCATCAGTGATCTCTCGTTATATTTGTTTCTTCTTTCCTAGGGCGGCAACGAGAACAATTCTTTCGCCCTCTCCGACCCCCTGGAGGGAATCATCGTCATCAACAAGCCCCTGGATTTCGACCATGGCCCAAGAGAATACCGCCTCGAAATTCAAGCGCGGGTAAGTCTTAGCAAATGCGTCCACAATATGCGTCCTTTAGATGGTCTAGGCGTTCGTGTGCGTTATATTGCCGTGCGCGCAGCTGGCCAGGTAGGCAGCGCGGGTGTAGGAAAAAATGTCCCCGGAATATATGTCCCCGGAAATAATGTCCCCGGAAAAAAAGGCCCCGGAAAAAAAGGCCCCGGAAAAAAAGGCCCCAGATGGAAAGTAGGAAAAAATGTCCCCAAAGGATTTTCTATCTCTGGGTTTCCCTGATCCTCATGTGCTTCGGGCGGTCCGGTCATATGTCCTGGGAAAAAAGGCACCGTGTCGCAGGTAGGGGAAAACGGCTCCGAAAGAGGATTAGTGAGAACGAAATTTTACTGTTTGCATTATATCCCCAAATAAGCACCTTCAATACCTATAATAACTTTGATGTCAATTAACCTCTCGTTTCTATAAAAAAATGACCGCATCTCCACGCGGTGAAATATGTTGATTGGGGCGAAGCTCTGGTGGTGCTGATGATACTGATTTTATTGCTCATAGGTAGTGCTGATGGTGCTGATTTTTTTTTATTGCTCATAGGTATTGCTTGGTTCCGGGTTGCGTTTCGACTTCATTATTACTGCTTTATGGTCGGTGAAATGCAGAGCCAGTGGTTCTTCTAGCGGATCAGCTTGGATCCACTGGATGCCGTGGGAAAGCATCTCCACGTCCATGTCAGAAAGAGAATATGTGGTATAGAACGTGGTTATATACCCATTTGAGCATTTGACCGCAGCGCCCTCCGCCCTCTCCTCTATAAACGTTGAGCCAATGCATGCAAAGTTTAACGCGATTACATACGCATTTGACCGCAGCGCCCTCTGTTGTATAGACGTTGAGCGGCTACATGCAACGTTTCATCCATGACATCCCCAGCTCTTGAGTTACTACCACATCTCAGAGCCCCTACTCGTCCCGCAGTTAAGGCGATGGACTAGAAATCCATTGGGGTCTCCCGCACAGGTTTGAATCCTGTCGACTGCGCAAACATTTTTTTATTTTTTTAAGAAGACAGATGGGATGGCAATCGATGTGAGCACGGACGCCGGACGGACAAGGCTAGACCCTAAGGAGCTTCGCCCCTTAAAAAAATAAAACAACTAGCGATCGCTTGTTCGTGTTAAGTGTCGCGCTTTTTACCTATTTGGAAAAGGGTACACAAGTACCTCTCAAATTTCCCGACACAATAATTTGGTTTTAGCTAGAAGTGTTATGAATGTTTTATTCACAATGAAAAACAAACACAAACAGTTGAGATGCAATGTTGCAAAATCAGGAATGAAATGACAAACTCTTGATTCATACACAAAAGTCAAAAACGAATTGTACTTGAAGTGGAAAAAATGTCCCTTTGGGGACATTTTTTCCTACTTTCCACCTGGGGCCTTTTTTTCCGGGGATATTTTTTCCGGGGACTTTTTTTCCGGGGACATTTTTTCCGGGGACGTTTTTTCCGGGGACGTTTTTTCCGGAACCCAGGCAGCGCACCCGTGGCCTAGCAGTTATCGTGCTTGCCTCCTGCGCGAAAAGCCGAGGTTCCATGCCTGGCCGCGGATAAATCTTCTTGTTGTTTCAGTAATGTCCCATTCTAGAAGATTTAAAAGCCTTGTTGCTAATTTGAAGTTGGAATGTTCTATGCGCCAAAGTATGTACGCCGATTGCTCAAGATGCACACTTGTCTAAAATAAGGGGGCTCCGCTTGGTGAGCCGCAGTCAGTCTAGCCCCAGCGCTCGATCCTGCTGTTTCGCCGACCTCGACGCTTGCGACGCTAACCTTCTTTTTTTGTTTCGTGCACAAGTTCGCTCCATTGAACTTTTAGTTTGCTTCAGTTTTCATCTCCTCATCAATTGTCATTCGTGACAATATACACATGGCTGTTGACGGCTCCACCCAATCTTTTTTGCAATGTGTTTTGTGGTGGCGGAAATTTTTAAAGATGTGCCAGGATGCAAGGATACGAAGTTGAGAAAGCTTATTTGTTTGTTTGTTTCTATTCTTTGTTTACTTACGAGGTATCGGGACAAACGTGCACTGCCAAACGAGACGCCATCAGATTAATACTTTGCATCGGCAGGCGATTGAAAAAAAAACAAAAAACATCAACGAGTATTAAAAAGCAAAAACACAGCATTGGTAGAAAATTATAGCACGACATTATTAATCTCATATATTCCGCATGAAAAACAGAGACACAATTTTATAAAAAGCATTCATTAAAAACAATTTAAAAAAAACACTCAAAGAAAGTTAAGTTGAAGTGCACTCTAAGGAATGCCTGCTCGTCTACTTACCCGCAAAGCACTCGAAGAGCCAATCTCTGCTATCTACGAAATCATATCAGCGAATGATGAGGCAGAACATCTGTTTAGACCTAAAAATGAAGTCTGTGCTGTGGCATTACGCAATGCAAGCATGGCGCTTTGCATTGCGTAATGCCACACCACAGACTTCATATTTAGGTCTAAACGGATGTTCCGCCTCATCATTCGCCGAGCTGATTTCGTAGGTCGCAGAGATTGACTCTTTGAGTGTTTTGCGGGTAAGTAGACGCGCAGGCATTTCTTAGAGTGTAGAATTTATTTAGGATACTGTATAGAATCTATGTGGCAGGAAGTGGGCGAACTAAAAACTTGTCAATTACACTCATTCCGTAGAAAGCATAATATACCTTTTACACTGTTTTTGAAGCTGTAATGTGAAACGCTGCAACTTCAAAGCCTTACTGAAGTCTTCAATGAATGTTAACACCGTAGCTTGGGCTAGTTGGTTTTCCATCTTAGTTCTTTACAGCGCATAAACGTCTCACAAAAGTAGGCACTCACTCAATTACAGACACAAAAACATGCAGCAGCAGATTGTTGTGTGTAAATTTATAAGCCGGAAGTTAGTCTGCCTCAGTGTGTGTCTGGTGTCTCAGCTGTACATGAGCCATTGAGCCAGTGCGGTGCAACCGCTAGTTTGGGGTCTTTAACGTGCACCACACAGTACAGATACACGACCGCATGCCGGTACGATGCTCATCCTGATCGAAACGGGCAGCGCTGGGGACGGAACCCAGGACCCCTGGGGTGCTATGTTGCGCTTTTTGCACTCCCAGGAGACTTGGAAGAGGGAAGTGACGTCAACGACACAGCAAATGCAGATTGGATGTTGACAGAAGAAAACGAAATCAACACCCAATCTGCGTTTTCTGTGTCGTTGACGTCACTTCCCTCTCCCTAGTCTCCTGGGAGTGCAAAAAGCGCAACATAGCCCCCCTGGGCTCTGCAGCACGAGCTTTCAGAACCCAGGGATCATGGGTTCAATCCCCACCCCTGCCCGTTTCGATCTGGATGAGCATCCTGCCGGCATGCGGTCGTGTATCACTACTGCGTTTTGCACAAAAACATGCACACAGCGCTGAACTCACAACTTTTTGATATTTTTGTCTTCGTTTTCTTCTACTTATTGTGAAAACGAAATCTGTAAATTGTTTTGTCCTCATTTTTTATCTCCGCTTAATAAAACGAATTCATAAAATAGTCCGCGGTTACCTTCTTAAGGTTAGGTAAGCCAATTTTTTTCAGATAAGGCCAGAGATGGACTGGTCCCGCATCCATCGTCAAGTCTGGCGTTATGCTTCGCGTCAATTATTTCCCTAGTTAGTTGGTTGTTGCTTCGGTCTAGCACGGTGCAACTATGTAGTTGTGCCGCACACCCGCAATCCCGGCAGAGGAGACCTAAATGTTTTGAGTTGGATCTAGTAATGCTATTGTAGTGTTTACGAAGTCGATCGTTGAGGCACATGTCCAGTCTGGCCGATATGACGGTGCCTCAACAATCGACTTCGTAAACAGTAAAATAGCATTACTAGAGCCAACTTAGGACATTCAGGTCTGCACTGCCGGGATGGCGGGTGTGCGACAAAACTATACGTAGTTGCACCGTGCTAGACCGAAGCAACAACCAACTAGGGAAATAATTGAAGCGAAGCATAATGCCAGGCTTGACGATGGATGCGTGACCAGCCCATCTCTGACCTTATCTGCAAAAAAATTGGCTTACCTAGCCTTAAGAACATAATCGCGGAATATTATACAAATTGGTTTTAATAGGCGGAAAAGAGAAAAAATGAGGACAAAACAATTTACATATTTTGTTTATCAAGAAGTAAAAGAAAAGAAAGACAAAATATAAAGAGCTGTGAGTTCAGCACTGTGTGTCTGTTTTTGTGCCTGTAATTGAGTGAGTGCCTGCTCTTGTGAGACGTTTATGCGCTGTGTACTACAAACACTCTAAAGAATGTATTGCCTCACATTTGAATCCATTTGGGTCTTCGCCATTTTTATTGTTCTGGGTTCGCCTAATAGCATGTTATAATCTTTCTACAGCGAATGATAATGCGAGATTAGCAAATAAGAACCACAAAGAACAAATCACAAAAGAAGACGCGCGAACTTTTAAAGTCACACCTTGCTTTTCTAAAGCTGTGAGCGACTATGCCAACATTTCTTACGCGTGAGCGTAGCAAACGACGAGAGAAATAGATGTCTGTAAAGGAACAATACCGGTAGAGATTCATCTCATCGCCAAAGAGTTTGGTTTAGGGTTATGTCGGGAAACAATTAATTTTTTTCTTTTTCTTTCGGCATATGGGAACAAGTCACTATATCTGACTAATAAACTACGCCAGAGAACTTTCTTTTTTTCCCTCTTGCTTTCCTTTAAACTCTTAATATGCATTTAACGCAACGCACAGATACCGCCATCCACTTTTAACAATATGAGCAGAAAGCCAACACGCTTAGGTTAAAATAAAAACACAGTCTTTTGGAGTTACTCAGAGCTCATTGAACATCATCAAAACGCAGCGAGTTTTTTTTTTTTTTTTTGCGAGTGTACAGTGTATGTTTTAAACATAATGGCCAAAGTATAACAATCGTTTATTTGGGTCACTATTTTCTGTCCATTTCCGAGTGAGTGAACTCAAAAT